CAATGTAGTTGCAGATGCTCTGAGTAGGAGATCAGACTACTTTGGAGCTATAGTTCACTATCTAGACATAGGGAGCGACCTGCAAGAGAAAGTTAAGGAGGTCCCAAAGAATGAGTCAGATTACCGCACTACAGAGGGTTTATTATTTGAGAAGACTAATGTAGTAGACCGCCTATGCATTCCCAACAGTGAGGAGATCCGTAGTCTGATCCTAGGGGAATGCCATGATACAGAGGGACACTTCGGTTGGCAAAAGACTTTAGCCAATCTTATGCACGCGTACACATGGCCAGGAATGAAGAACGACTGCATAGAGTATGTTCGCAGTTGTAAAGTCTGTCAGAGGAACAAGACTACCACGCGTGTCCCTCTAGGTCTTCTCAGACCCTTGCCCATTCCAGACCAGCTTGGAGATTCAGTCTCCGTTGACTTTATGGATGCCGGTGTCAAGAGTAGGCACGGCAAGAGCCAAGTCATGGTCGTCGTCGATAGTTTTAGCAAGTATGTTATTTTTGTTCCTTTGCCTACAGCGCGCACAGAGTTAGTGATCCAGATGTTTTTCGATTTTTGGGTTAGTGAGCATGGAGTCCCGTTGTCCATAGTTAGTGATAAAGATAGTCGCTTCACCAGCCAGAACTGGCAGGAACTCATGAGAGTCTATGGGTCAAAGTTGCTGATGTCGTCTGGCCGCCATCCAGAGACTAACGGACAGACCGAGCAGATGAACAAGATCCTGCAGCAAGTTCTGCGCATGTACATTAGACCCGATCAGATTAACAGCGACAAGATGTTACCCAAGGTAGCCAGTGCATACAATAACAGCATGCATTTGTCCACCTGTCGCACTCCCAACGAGTTGCACAAGTCCTTTAGACCACGTAGACCGTTTGTGATACAGCATGAGAAAGAGATAGCCACTGTTGTTGAGAACCTCAGGAAGGCCCAGCACCAGATGATAGAACAGGCTAATAAGCACCGCCGCCCATCGCAGTTTCCGGTAGGTGACCTGGTCTGGGTCAAGTCTAAAGAGTTTGCACCTGAGGAGAACATCTCGCAGAAGTTACTGCCGCGTATAGAGGACCGTGGCCAGTTCTAGAAGTTAAGGGCGGAGAGGATGGACCATCCTATACTATAGAGATCCCAGCACACCTCCACACCTACCCCGTGTTTCACGCATCAAAGTTGCTGCCGTGTGTCACCAGTCAACAGTTTCCATCTAGACGGTCCATGATTCCTCCAGACATGGACGCCAGATATGACATTGATGGCCTTGTAGGTGAAGATGTGTTCAGAACAGGAGGTAGAGGTTGTCCACAGAAACAGTATAAGGTCCGGTTTGCATATCAGGAGCCGGAGGATGACCGCTGGCTCACTAGAGCAGAACTTCTAGAGACAGCTCCCGATATAGTTAGAGCCAATGAAAGAGATCAAAGAGGTAAAGGTCCTGCCTTGGACTGAGTTATTCTCGGAGGACCTCGAATTTAGGCCGGCGGGAGTGAAACGGTATTCACCAGTTCGCAGTAGCTGATGCAGATCCCAGGGCTCGATCCCTAGCCCCCAACTTACCAGTGTACAGTATCTGTGTCGACCCCTAGAGTTGAACCTGCGACCTGTGTATTTGCAACAGTTGGTAGGTTGCGTAGGGCCCATAGGTACCAGGGGTTCGATCTGTAGACCTGTCGAGTAGGAGTCCCAGTCAGGTCTAGAAGTCGTAGCTCTAGCCCTCTCGAAGAGTCAAGGTCATAGCAGCTACAGTCCAGAAAGGTCAAGGTCATAGCTGCTACAGTCCAGAAAGGTGAAGGTCGTAGCTGATACAGTACCGAAAGGCCAAGTCTACGGCCTTCCGGAAGGTCCGAGTAGTGGCCTTTCGGAGTTTCCCACTGTTAGGCTGAGGCAACTGGGCAAGTGGTGAGGCAAGTGGTGGAGTCTACCCGTGCTGAGTCAGCAGTCCCAGTCCTAGGCAGTCCTGGTCCAGTCAAGCAAGTACCGCATGGGACTGTGTGCACTTCGGGCATGGGAAAGGGCCAGACCAACGAGCTGCAGAAGTATAAATCAAGAGGCAGCGCCCAGTCATTCATTCATTCCTGCTTGAGCCATGCGGAAGCGCTGCCACAAGCGACATGTGCAAGGAGGTCTGCAGAGAGCCCGAAGACGAAGTGGGCGAGAGAGGAGTTAGCCATAGCGATAGGGTAGTAGCAGCCATAGCCGCCATAGCTGTAGGTGGAGTGCAGAGTGAGTGTGTGTTTGTGCTCAGAGTATCGCGTGTGGGATATCCAGGGTGATCCTGTGGATGCGAACAGAGAGTTGTGTGGGCGCTGAGTCGCCATAGCCAACGGAGTGAACTTGAATCTGAACTGTGTTCTCGGTTACCATATCTCTGAGTACTGAGTGGGCGCCTGTCGCCAGTTTGCTGCGCACCTGTTCGCATGCATGAGAGTGTGAATGATAGCGAGTATGATTGCACTATGAGAAATTTGGCTAGTGATCTGATATGCACAATGGTCTTCGAGTTGCAATTTTTGGCTAATGGAACGTTCAGGAAGACTAGCTCACCATTTTGCCAAAATAACAACACAAAAAAGGAGGAGCACTGCCAAGGCCAGGACATGCTGAATCATCCAACCGCCCTGCATAATAATCAACATCAGAGCCACAAACACCAAATCCAAATCAATAAATAAAGCTGTCGCAATTAACAAACACATAGAAAGCAAAAGAAAAGAAAAGGAAAAAAAGCTTACTCTTCAGATACACCAAATCTGAAACAGTAAATTGTTGTTGCTCTCAAACGCATAGTAGGCAAAAAATAAAAAATAAAAAAAATCTGAAGACCCTTCACACACACCACACCCGAAACAAATCTGAAGACAAAAAATCATTCAACAATTTATCACTCAAGAAAACAATATGGAATTTCTACATAATACAGACTATATACATGTTATATAATAATAATCACATTGCTCTTTGTATATAATTCCATATTACAAAGAGCAATGTGATTATATAATTCCATAATACAGACGACAACATACTATGCAAGGAACCTGACTGTTCATAGCTTGCTGGAGTGTATCTCATTGCATGCATAAATGTCAACATACAGATAGAGAAACTTCACACGTGGCTAAATCGAGATGAGATGAGAATCAGATAGTGCAGCTCATATTATCACAACAACATTATACAAAGAGTATCTCGAGTCCAAGAGTTCAGCGCCAACAGAGTACAAGTCTCCTTCGTTCCATACTCAATATAGGGCCTGGCTCAGCCAGCGTCTGCCCTCAGATCACAGGTATGGCGCCAACATGTAA